TAATAAGGTAATGTAGGTAATAAGAGTAATATGAATGATAATAAGGTAATATGAGTAATATAAGGTAAGGAAGTAATAGTAAGAAGAATAAGTAAGGATAGTAGTTAGTATTAGATGTTAAGTGGTAAGTGGTAGGGAGGATATGAAGAGTAAGGGATAAGGAGAAATATGGTAGTAGGGATTATGGTGGTAAAAGTTATAGTAGGGATTTAGGAAAATTTTTAGGAAAAATTTTAGGGGCTAGAGGAAGCAGAGATAAGCAAGAGAGGGAGACTTAAGTAATAAGTAAAGGTAGGGTAAGTAATAAATAAATAGAATAAAGATAGGGAAGGGGATATTAGGTGATAAATAGAAGTGATATAGGAATAGAAATAAGATAATAAGTAAGGAGACTAAATGATAGGGCACGTAACTAACAAGTAAGTAAGACTAATAAGGAAGTAAAAATAGTAAGGAGAGTGAAGACTAAAGAATATGGGAAGGTAAGTAATAAAAGACTAAGTAAAGATAAGGTAAGTAAAACAGGGAAAATAAGTAAGTATGGGTAATAAGAGGGTAAGTAATAATAAGTAAGTATAATAGGTAGGGAAAGGAGAGAGAGATAATAAGGGAATATAGGTGATATAGGGTAAGAGAGATATGAGTGGTAGTAGGGGAATATAGGTAATGATAAGGGAATAAGAAGGTAAGGAAGTGATATGAATGATATAGGTGATATGAGTAATAAGAAGGTAAGGAAGTGATAAGAGGTAATATAGGTGATATGAGTGATAATAAGGTAAGGAAGTGATAAGAGAGATAAGAAGGTAATATAGATAATAAGAGAGATAGTAAGGAAATATAGGGAATATAAGGTAAGGAAGTGATATGAATGATATAGGTGATAAGAGTAATAAAAGTAGTAAGGGAAGTGATAATAAATATAATAATAAGTAAGAGAAATAGGGTAAGAGACTAGCTAATTGGTAAGTAGTAAGAGGGTAAGAAAGTAAGAATAGGGGAATATAGGCAGTGGGAACTAATGGGTAGGAGATGATAAGGTGATATAGGTAATATAAGGCAAGAAAGGAATATGAATGAAGCCTAATGGATAAGTGATAAAGATAAGGGAGGGTAAGTAAGTGATATTAGGGAAGTAAGAAATAAGTATAAGGTAAGGATAGAAAGATAAGGAAGATGAGTAAAGAGAGTGATATGAGAGATAGTAAGGTAAGGAAGGAGTAATAGGGTAATATAGGTAATAAGAGAGATAGTAAGGTAAGAAAGGAATATGAGTGATAGTAAGGTAATGTAGGTAATATAAGGTAAGGAAGTGATATGAGTAGTAATAAGGTAAGGAAATGATATGAGTGATAGTAAGGTAAGAGAGAATAATAAGGGTAAGTAAGTAATAACTAAGTAATAAGTAATGATAAGTAACTATAACTAACTAATAATAACTAAGTAAGTAATAATGACTAATAATAAGTAAGTAAGTATAATAGATAAGTAGGGAAAATAAGGAGAGAGTAATATAGATGATAAGTAAGGTAAGGGAGTAATAAGAGAGATATTGAAAGACAGATTAATAGGATGTAGTTAGTTATATTATTAGAAGGAGAGGAGGAGATAATAAGGTAAGTGATAAATAGAATAATAAGATTAGATAGGGGGGATAGTGAAGACTAGGAATAAGTAGAGATTAAGATAATGAAGTAAGGGAGTGAGTGGAGAAGACTAGTAGTAATAGGAGGAAGTGATAGAAAGATAAAAGGGATAAGGTAGAGGAATAAGGTAAGGGAGATAGTAAGTAGTATAAGTAATAAGGTAAGGAAGTGACAATAAATAAGGTAGTAGGGAAATAAGAAGTAAGGGAAGTGAAGATAGGGGAATATAGAAAGACAGACTAATAGGACGTAGTTAGAGGAATATAGGTAGTAGATAAGGGGTAAGTAAATGGAGGCTAGGTTAGGAGGAAGGGTAGGTAATGGAGACTAATAAGTAGTAAGGTAAGTAATAAGTAAGTAA